TCCTTTGATAGCTACCAGATGAGTTTAGCCTTTCCAACATTAAATCTTTATCATATTACCATAAGATAGAAAATTTGTTTTACCTTTTAATTTTTTCAGTTTCTTTGGCCTTTTCTAACAAAACTTATATGTTGATTATACTATTTTTCCATTGAAGCAATGTAGTTAGAGTGTAAGAACATACTGTGGAAACCAACTTAATCCATAATTTAACTCAACATTAAACTATTAATATTGCAGCTATAGCACAGGTTAAACAGATTTGAGAGCTGACAGAGGAAATCTGTAGCAAGAAGGTACTGATCCCTGCTCGCCACCTCACCAACCGCCCACCCCTATGTGACTACAGGGGCCAAGCCCAAGACAAAAGGGCCAGGGACAACATTGTGTTTGCTGTCTCTTACCACATGCTATACCTTTAGTAGCTTCTAGCCTCAGATGTATCACCAGGAGAGTGAATATAGGTGGCTTGAATAATATCACTTAGCTTCGGATCTCTAAAGAGAACTTTTTCTCTTTGACAATTTTATGTCTATAACTTATAAGTAATATGTTTGTTAGTCGGAGAATGCCTGTATTACATTATTACATTGTTACAGAATACTTTTTATAGTTGGTTTCATGTGATTAGCAAACAGTTAATCGTGGGAAGAGGTTGGGTGTCCCTCTAGCACTACTACGTAATCCAGCAGTAGTTTGGTCAGATTAAATTAAATATTGAAATACAAAGTCAATGCTCAGATCACTCATATAAGCAACTAAGTCTAGATTTTCTTCTTAAAATCTGACCTATAGAATAGTGCTAAAGAGATATCCAGGATACTCAAACTAGAACTTTCAAAATATAGTTGTTATAATGGTCAGATGCTTTTTGCTTTGGCTGAAGTCTACTTCTGAGCTTCACCTTCAATAATCTTCTAAATGTACGGCCCATTTCATAATTTGTTCTTTTTAGTAAGTCTATAATAAATCTTTTTGACTTATAATCAAATGTATGTTTCAAAAAATTAAAATTTAACTAGAGACTTCTGTGACCAGCAGACGCTGGATTTATCCCTTATAGGTTAGGACTGTTTGGTAGTTTCTGCTAAATCTTCAATCCCTTAAGCCTCAAAAGTAGTTCCAGATAATTTTTGGTGGCCATATTGGCCTCCATGTCCACATTTTCCATTTACATCATTTTACCTCTCATACCTTGAGTACATGCCTGTTCATTCATTTATGCTGTTGATCATACCACAACTTCTTGCATTCTTTCTTGAATCTCTTAGCATCCAGGGGAATAGTGAGCCTATAATTTGAAAAACTATACTTGAAAGCTTCCATATTCTCTGTTCCAAAAGCAAAGTTTTAAAAATGTACTATGTGTTGTGGAAGAACACACACAACTTGTTTTATCCAGGCTCTATATATATTATTAGAAATTGAATTGTAAAAAAGTGAACTCCATTTTTAATTTAGGCAGAACCCCCCCCCCCCTCCGTCCCCACTTAGTTTTCTTTCTTTTCTTTTTTGTTTCTTTTTTTGTGTGTGTGAACTATGGGGCCTCACTCTGTCACCTGGGCTAGAATGCAGTGGCATGATCTTGACTCACTGCAGCCTCAAACTTCTGGGCTCAAGTTCTCTTGCCTCAATCTCCTGAGTAGCTGAGACTGCAGATGCATGCCGCCACATCCAGCTTATTTTTTATTTTTTTTATTTTTATTTTTTTTAGAGATGGGATCTCACTATGTTACCCAGGCTGGTCTTGAACTCCTGGGCTCAAATGGTCTTCCCACCTCAGCCTCCCAAAACATTGGGACTACAAGCATGAGTCACTGTGCCTGGCCTAGTTTTCTGTAATATTCAGTATTTGACCCATCTTTTTTATGTCTTATAAAATACATCTAAATACTTAAGTACTTAAGGAATCATATATTTAGAATAATAGAGAATTATGGAATGCAAGGTACTTGTTTTCAGAGATGGTGATCTTGGCTTTTTGTAGCTCTGGTGTTGACTCTTAGGCTAGATTTATACTTCTAGAGCATCAGAAGTCAAAGGAATATGTTGGGTCAGTAGCTATGAATACCCCACATCAGACGATTCAGGTCTAAAAAAGAAGAATAGGCTTTATGTGGTATGTGTACACATGCCTTTCAGTAGATAACTATCCCATAAAGGTACACTGAAATAGTTTTAGGCCACCTGTTATTTGCTGTCTTTAGTCATTCATTTTCCCTTCCTTTAATATGGCATGTCACATAAGGGACAGAGTATAATTTCTTCCCTTTCTGAAAATGAGTTTTACAGGTGCTTAATAAGGAACTGCTGTATAGTTGTATACCCATGTATGTTACATGGATATAGATCAGTATAGTCAGCTAATTTCCGAATGCCTAACAGTACAACTAAGAATTGTACAAAGGGCATTATTAGTGGTGGTGTTTAGCTCTGGAATAAAAATCTTGTACTTTGAAGTGTGTTTCTTCAAGATTAGGGCCTGTGGTGTTTGTTGTTTTATTGATCCATGTGAGGTAGCTACATAAGGTGCTCCAGAATCTCAAGAAGACTCCAATAATTGTCTTGTTGTTAAGGCATATTGAACGCTTTTGTTTGTGTTTTCTGTCTGTGTACGTATCCTGTGAAGTAGTTAACTTAAATTGTTAAACAAAGCCAAAGATTTCTAGTACCTTTAATTGCGTAAACCAAGGTTTCTGACCCCATTTCAAATTCTGTTATCAGTGGCAGAAGAAGCGCCAGACCTCTGCCATGAAGGGGTTAAATGCTCTTATCAAATGTGTTTATGAGGGGCCACAGCTTTGTTGGCTGTACTGGCCACCTTTTTTTTTTTTTTTTTTTACTTTCTACTTCACTAATCAAATGTATATTAGATTGATTATTGTAAAAGTGTAAACCATAGAAAATTTGACAAGATAGATGTGTAAATTATCCTTCTGACAGAACTAATGATGCACTCCAAGCACCTTCTGCTTTCCAGCGCTTGGTGAGTGACTTCATTAAATATGCAATGGCTGTTGGGTGGCTTCTCAGACGATGGTTCAGTTCCTTGTGGAATTGCATTATTACTAGAGGTGTAAAACCAGGCAGACAAGCTAGCTGTTGGGCATCCTGCTGAGGTTCTAATGTGCTCCATCTTGTTGGAGCAGTTGTTTGCAGTCTTTTCAGGACAATTACATCCATAACCACAGGATACATTCAGTGAAACTATATTACAGATAACAGTGGAGACTGGCATTCACTGCTCGTCACCCCTCTCTGTCTTCAGCCTCAGTGTGGGCAGCTTATAATAATATAGTAATGCCACTTTTACCATTCACAGAGTAGTTTTTTTTTTTTTTTTTTAATCCTGTGGAGCAAATCTGGAAAAAACTGATTTTTAACTTTTTTAATAAGTGCTTAAAATCATAGAATATTAGAGTTGAAGAGACTTCATAAAGTCTAATCCATTTGCAAGTGAAAACACAGGCTGAATCAGAGTAATGGATGGTCCCTTAGGAGATAATAGAAGGTCCTGGTAGAATATCTTTTAGGTGGTAGAGACTGCATGAGTAGGGGGATTTATTTACTCTTAGCTTCTGGTTTTAGAACTATCTCAAACAAAATTTTTCATTTTGAATTTAAGGGTTTTTTTTCTGCTCAACTTCGTTTCCCCCCATCTTAATACCAGCAATACCTTTTTATTTCTGAAAGCCAAGCATATAATTTGCTTTCTGAGATTATCACAGTATTTATTATTTTGATGACAATTTGATGGTTTCTTAGAGAACTGGACAGAAAAGATGGTTTTAGTTGAGCTTGAAATGGTATTTAAGGTTTCCAAAAGGCAGATGCTATGATGTATCACTACAGCCTAATAAATGGGAATGCATTCTAGAATGACAGGCTGAATACTTTAATGAAAGAAGGTTTTCCATTTCAGTTGGTCAATTAAATCACTGTTGATGACTTTGGATCACTAATGAACATTTGTGGAAAATGACCATTTGAATTCAATTATTACAATAATAGGTTTTTTGGAGAAGTACAAGTACAAATAATCCTAACTGTAAATTAAAAGATTTATCCATTTTGCCACAGATAAGTTAGCGTATTGCTTTGCTTTTTAATACCAGAGCAAGTTGACATTTCAGAATTCTTTTACAGATTAAGTACATATTCTTTCTTACAAAAGTTCTACTTACAAAAGGTTATGTTTTTCATTGAGCACCTTTTGAAATATAATTTATGCTGCTAACCGTTATGTTACTTCATTATTCTCAGAGCAAATTAGCAAGACCTAGAAACAAAAAAAGGGAACTTTGTACAGTATGTAAAAGCAAAAGATTAAGTTTACGATGGATTAGGTATTTGATTTATTTAATGCCTTAGGGGAAAAAAATCTAAATCTGGAAAAACAGTAGGAAGAAAGTAACCATTATTTGGGAACATGCAAATTTATTTAAAAGTACTGTGAAAATAAAATGTAAATAGAAGCTTAATAACTAGATTTTTTATCTTAAGCCTATTAAAGTTTCGAATTTTCTTATTTTAAGCCTTTATGTTCGTTAACATATTTTAAGAAGATATATCCTGTCATTTTTGCTAAATGTACCCGACAAATTCATCCCAATATGATGTTTTTCTTTAGTTAACTTCATTTTCTCTAAAACTTGGGTGTGTTGTGGTAGTTAAGGCAAAGGTGGGTTCTTTCGAAATGCACGTTTTTCTCATTTTGTTATTTGTAAAATGGGCTATAATCTCCATCCAAGCTTCCTTCAATCTCCATTTCATAGTTTACAGAGAAAGGAGACACTGTGGAGCACAGACTTCCCCTGGGAATACACTGGGCTTAATGAGCTTGATAGTCTGGTGGGCTCAATAAATCAAATAAAGCAAAACATTTCTCATTTTTGAATAAAAGCATTTATCACACAGTGTTTGTTCACTCGTGGTCACAAGATTGATTGGTTCCCAGCATCATAGCGTATATTGAAGCATTTTTGATTTTGTTTTTCCAGTGGGCAAGTTACGGAAGCAGTGGCTAAAGGAAAGTATCTCTGATGTCGGCTTTGGGATGCTGAAGTCTGTCAAGGAATATGTGGACCCCAATAACATCTTTGGAAACAGAAACCTTTTATAAATCCATTAGTATCATTACAAAAAAATGTCAATTTTTTTTTTTAAGTTTTCAACTGTGGTTATAATCGTAATCAAATATATCATGGACTATATTTTGGATACTTTGTTTGTTGGTTTAAAATAAGTTTGTTTTCATTCTGTAGTTTGTTTTGTTTCTACATCTATGCATTGACAGATGGTATTCCTAAATCTCTCTCATTGTAGGTACGTCATTTTACAGCCAACGGTTGTCATTTCAAATTTTAGGCAGCACAAGGCTGCCAACTATTCCAGAGGAAGCTGCTGCCAGCTGTTTTGTATTGATGCTTCCTCTTGGGGAACAAAGACAGATTTCGGTATCATTGATTGCTCAGCTAGCCTCTTTTTAAAAGAATGTTTCTGGGAATCAGATGTCTAGGAAAGGATTCCACTGAGGAGTGATACACATGTACATCGTTTAAGAGCATATTCTAGTGTGACTAGGCCATTAAAGGGAAGGATATTCATGAAAGAATATAGGCAACCTGTTATTTAGAAAACCTTCACTTCTGTAAGGTGCTTGGCCTATGGGGTTTTTTTGTTTTTGTTTTTGTTTTGAAATTAGTATACATGCATAAAACCTTGTATCATCAATATACAAATTATTCTGTTAGGGGACATGTTTTTGTTCTCCATGTTTCTGTTTCTATTGAGGTATGAGTTGTATTTGTATCACTGAGATAACCTATTGTTATATTCTAATTCATTGATAACATGTTTTGTAAGAAAAGCTGACATCCCTCATTGCAAGTGAAGAACAGGTTTACCATGAAATGAATGCCTTTATTCAAATTAGAGTCCTAATGTTTCTGATTTCACATTCTTGTTGCTGAAATGCAGAAGAAACAGCTACAGCAGGAGCAGAAGGAAAATTCCTTAGACTTAATGTCTCCAATTGCAAGAATTGTTTCACTAAAGAAACAGTCATCATTCAACTACTGAATTTGAAAGCCTCAGCAGTTTCAACAACAAAAATCATTTTGCTTTTTTAAAATTAATCCCAACTGCATGATAAATTTTCATATAAAAAGTAAAGTTTCAATTTAGTTTTTAATAATGGTTTAATGCCTTTTTTGAATAACTGGTTTAACCTAAATTTTTTTTAAATGTAATGTAATGTATTAATGCATATACCATAATCAAAAGTTTGAAATATCCGTTTCTTAAATAATGAGGACATTAATCACATTTAGCAAACATTTGTACATTCAAACCTGGATATTAAAGTGAAATGATTACTTTGAATCACTGTCTGCCAAGGTTCATGATTCACATTTTGAGATGGATTCTTTTCTTAATGTAATACCTAACTTTTGATAATTTTTTAAAACTAATATTTGATCAGATAATGTAAGTCAAAATGCAGACAATCCTTTAAAAGGATGCATTGTCTGTGTATGTAGCAACAGCTCCAAAGTATTTTTGGGCAGTTTGATACCTTTTATATCTGAAGTAGCCTTAACCAGAAAAATGATAATTTAAAATTGACAAAATGATATTTTTAAGACTTCAAAATGATAATTTTTAACTATTAAAATTGGCCTCAAACTAATAAATCTGTAATTAAATTAGAATTAAATATCAGTTTAACAACAAAATGAAATATTTCTTTTTTAGAAACTGCCTCTCTTCATTGGTGATTTATTTTTAATTATAGAATTTCCAGCAGATCTTTGCTTTAAGCCCTTGATATTAGACCTAATTGGACACTTGATGAGGAAGTTGCCTCTAGAATTATAAAAATCTCAGCTTTATAAAATGCATCTGTTCATGAAGGTAATTTCTCTAATTGGTGATCAAAATATAAAATTAAAGAAGGTACTAATGTCTCACTGGAAGTATATATATATACACACACATGTATATGTGTGTGTGTGTGTATATATATATATGTTTCTGAGTAATTTTTAAAAAATAAAACAGGTTCATTAGAAGATCCATTCCTTTGCATGTGATTGTTATAACATTCTTTCCCAGGGAGTTCAATTTCAACAACCTCAGAAATCCGTACTTGATATTAGGAAACTATAAATGTAACACCTGAAATTATTATGTTCACTATTCTACATGAACCTTATGGAAATTCGTGATTTATGTCTTTGTTTTTCTTTTTCCAAGTATATGCAGGACTCCCCAACCTTGATTTTATAATGGTGACTGCATTTTGTAGGTGGAATCATTTCTACCGAAATCATTTTGAAACACAAGAACATTCATCAGTACTGTTTCGCTCTGATTTAGTAAATCAGAAAGCCTCGCCCCACCCCCAGCCCCCACTTTCACACACCTACTTCTGGGAGGTGCCTCAGTATAGACTTAGTATCTGTGGAGGACTGAGTTCATGAATATGCACAGAAGCACTTAAACCATGCTTCTTATTTCTATTATATTTGAAAATGGCTTCATAAAAGTTAGGAGAACACTGTTTATGTGACACTTCTTAACTCATTTTTAATGTTTATTTTTAATTTAAAAAACCTATTGCCTATTTGGTTTTCAGTACTGCATAACACTGACTTTCTTAAATTAGTCATATTTGCAATAATTTACTTAAATTTGGTAATGTCACATTTGGGTTGGGGTTTCAGTGGGAATAGTAACTTGCCGCTAGTGAGAAATGGCATTGAATACTAAAGACTCAGTGTGAACAGTCTTTATAGACCCTTAGAGAAACTGTTGCCTTAATGTTTGGTGCAATTTCTAGTAGTGCATAAGTGAATTTAGTCTTATGATAAGTAACTTGAGCTGTTTTTAGCTTAGTAAGAATTGTGGAAACCACATTTATTGTGCCCATCATTTTACACAAAGAAAAGAGGATTATATTGTTTCTTCTGAGGAAATAGGAGTTTTCTTCCTAAAAGTGCTTCCATATTGCAGTACTATTACTTAAAAGTTATTTATGAAGTTGGAAGCCTTCTAGTTTGCCTAACAGTGTTGATGTATTTTGAAAACAAAATTGCAATAAAGGATGAGCTTCCATCGGTGTATATGTTATACCAGATACAGATGGTTGCAAGGAAACCTTTCCCCCTACCCAGAATAGTCTGTTAGTAACTGCTAAGTCCTGGCTTGCATTTTTGAAAATGCTTTTCTGCATGTTAGCACCCAGACTTTCCTTTGTCATATTCCTTTATAGCTACAACTTAACTGTAGCTTATCAGAGAAGCTCTGTAGTCCTACACTGAAGTGTGTTCCCTTGGCTGTTATATGGGGCTGGGTTTGGTTGAACTTCTATTCTGTATAAATGTTAGAACACAGTTACTACAGATTGATTTACAAACTGCATGTGCTGGTGCTTCAGGCAGCCAAAATGGAATGCTGTGGAAAGCATATATCTACATCTTAAAAAACACTCAGACAGGAGTTAAGGACAGCTTTAATAATTTTTTTGTTTACCACTTAATCTTTATCAACTCTGATTTTAGTTAGGACTTAGCTCATGGTTGAAGAAAAGTGGAAAATAACAAGTGCCCATTTAGGTTTGAAGAATCCAGAATGTTTTACCTTTGACTTTATGAGTTACAGAAGCTTGGCTTTGCTCTAGGCTTCATGTTCCCAAATGAGCCATACATATGTCAGTATATTCACTTAATTTTTACTTATTTCAGTTTCCTGTAAAGGAAACAACTTATACATTGATGCTTAAATCCAGAAAGTATAAAAGGTTTTCTTAAACTGTTAAAATATAGTGTCTGATATAAAGGATGTAAGTTACTCAGCTTTCTGCTCCCTAAGCCAAACAGTGTTTGTCTTCAGTGTGAAATTTAACTGTAAAAACTACTTGTGATGTCAAGAGATTATAGATCATATTATTAATAAAATGGACCTGGGTCTAAGTTTTTTTTCTTCAAAGGGAGTGTGAAGCTGTTTATTCTTCTGTTTGCATATGGGTTTTTCTTTTAACTTTAGTTTTTCATGTTCATATTTCCACTGATTTGAAAACACAAAATTTATTTTTATAATTTTGTTGCTTGTAGCATAATCAAGTGCAACCTACTTGTGACTAAATCTCTGGATTTATAGTTGACGATATTGGTAGCTAGGTTTTGTCAATCCCTCATCATTTTTTAAAATCAATGCTATATTCCCAGGAGGCATTGAGACTCCTGTGAACCCGAAGCACTCCCTTTTGAACCTTGGAAGATCCTCAAAGAGCACTCTTGTGCTCTTCTAATCACAATTCCTTAACAAATCGGAGTAAGGACCACTGACATATAGAACACTCAAGCCAAAGAACCATCACAGAATTTAGTAACTTTAGTTCTGTGAACATGAAAACATTTCTTTTTTGGTTTCCAAAGGAGATTATTTATTTTTCCACAAGGAAAAACATCTTGCAGAGACTCTGAATTCCAAATCTGAGTGAGAAAGAAAAGGAAAAAAATCTGTTTCATCGTGGATTTCTAAGCAACATATATACGTGTTTTTAAGACAACCTTTTGTTGGCAGTGTTTTTCCTGAACACCACATGCACCCTAGGAAACATGTTTTTCCTTTAAAGTAATCTTGTTCACATATCGGAAAAGGACATGAAATGCTCATACTGGCATATAAGTTTCTATAAGTAGTTATTTTTGGGCTACTTATATACTGTATCCCCAAAAGCTCACAGTGCCTTGTTGAGATTTTTTTTTTCCATGAAATAGCCATTATTTTAAATGAGTGGGAGAGGATAAGTCTTTAGACAGAGGTCATTCATCAGTTCAAGACTATTCCTCTTCAAGAACATGTCAGGAATTAAGTAGTTGTATGTGGAAACACTGGTAATTCTTTCCACAGTATTGTTTTGGATAATCTGTTCTAGTATATTTAACTAATTGTATGGTGGACCTGTACTCTGATACACATCTAATCAGTCAATGGGATTTGTATGTGATTTTCATTCCTACTGCCCCAACCTAGTAGCCCTAAGTTGTGGCTTGGTGGATGTGGCATTGAGCCTCAAGACACTCACTACATTCTTTCTGGATGTTTGCTTACAGGCTCCCTGAGGAACAGAACCTGTGGAGCTGGCAGGGGGGCGGGTGGCTTTTATTCCTAATATTATGTGCCAGTCCTTTTTCGTGTGATGGTGCCTTCCGAATAACGAATATTTCTGTTCTGGACAATGATTAAATCTTATGAGAAATATATGTAGGTTATATTAATTCTTGTTCATTTTTGCTAAGCCTGTGAAATACTTTGGCTCTGATACAACTTGACTTGAATAATATCTTATCCTGAGTCTTCCTCCAAGGCAGTACATATTCCTGCTAGGACTGTAGTAATCCTTTGGGAACTACATGTGAGTAAGCACCTGTATGTAAGCCATTATACTGCTGTAACTAATGCATACAAACAATTCTTCTCTTTACATTTATAGTCTAAAAGGGGATATGCAGTGGGAAGGAAAATTCCTGAGAGTTTCCAGCGTAGCTTTGTCAATTCCAACTGAGCCATACTGTTTTCCACAAGGGCTCAACACATATCAGTATTCCATGCTTTCACTGTGTGTTCAGATTCTCCTTTTATTGGTTTTCTTAGACTGTACTGTTCTATAAGCAAATGCCCATGTGTGATTTTTAAGATGTGCTGGGGAAAAATAAATCAATACCACAACCACCCATTGTTAAAGAAATTGTTGTTTATTTCACGTTGGTTCTATTTAACCTTTGTTGACAGCATGCTATTCTTGGCAAAAACAAACAGGATACACTTTGTGCCCATGAGTACCCTCTCTGGTAGTAAAGGGCATGTGCACAGATACTGATTACATCCCTGCCTGTGGCTCCCACACTGAAAGGAAGGTTGTAGCTATCTGGGCTCTGAAATGACTGAAGGTCAGACCTGTTGAACTCTGTCTTACATGATACATTTCAGTAATCACTAGCCATACTAAGATTTTAGCTCTTGTATTATGTAGTTAAGAAAAGCAATTTTCTACCTGACTTATATAAGTTCAGATTGAATGAACTCTAGAAATCATCCCATCTTATTTGCTTCATCCCATCTGAACATAATTGCTACCTAACGTTCCCCAGACCACAAACAGATAACCAGTCTTCCTGACCATTTATTGCTGTGAACAAATGCAAATTCATTGCCTTTCCAGGAAGCCTTTTCCAACTTCTGTCATCTTCAAATATTAGGAAATTTTTAAATTATTATTATTAGACTGAAATCTGTGTTTGCCTTCTACCCATTATACAACTTCTGCCACCTTTGGTCATAAAGAATTGTCCAATTTCTCTGTTGAAGGGCTGCTCTTCAGGTATTTTAAGTCAGGTCCCATGTTCTTCAACACCTTCTCCTGTCAACCTTTGCTCCTGTCATTTATAGACTTTCACCTTAATAATCCTCTTCACATGTGCCCATTTGCTGTTTTTAAAGTGAGGTGTCTAGGCCTGAAAACAAATCTTCCAGAGTAGTACCAATGCTTCCTCTAGTGTAGTCACTAATAAAAAAGCATTTTTGGTGGGCATTGCTCTGTCAACTCATACTGACTATATGCCATTTACCAAAGATTGTCTTTTTCATGTGACATTTTGGCCGCATCTCCTTGGAGGCTAATTTTTTTAAAGCCCCATTACTTATATTTAGCTTTACTAAAATTTGTATCTTACTGGAGTTAGTTCCATATTTTCAAAATGTTAGGATCTTGACTCTTACCCAGAATATTTTCTGTGCCATCAAGCTTCAGGTCATCAGTAAAATAGAGACAAATACTGTCTGGATTTTCATCCAAGTAATGACAGATAATTGGTACAAGGGCCTATCTGACCCATGATCCTGACATTTCATCCATGAAAGAACATTCAGGATTCAGACATCTACACTTTCGCTTGACATACAATTGTCCACCTTATACTTTTACATTTTGGCCACAAATACACTTTTTATTCAGTTAATCAGCATTTATGTCAGATAAGTAATCATGTTTACTTTAACATTTTCTGCTGCCACAGTGAAATCCTGATAAAGCTACTACTACAGTTTCATGTGCTACCCTATAAGAAAAAGAAATGAAACCTTCCTGCCATCACATTTCCTTTTGCCTATGTTTGGCCTCAGGGGCATGTTTCTCTTTTTGAAAGACTCAAACCCATTTTCTGCTGCATTTTCTGATGCGGTCTGTTGATTGGGCCTGGTATTGCCTGATGGACAAGCTCTGAAATCCACCCTTGCATAGTTTTGCCATGTCCTTTGTACCTCATTGTGCTAACATTAGATAGGTGAAGCTGCTCTTTTTAGAAAATGGCAGAATTTTACCACTGTAAAGTAACTTAGAAGATAGGGTTCTAAATACAAGAAGCAGTGGATAAGGTTCTATTCTGGACATTTTGGGTGTGATTCATTTTTCTCTACAAACTACAAGTCACATTCCCTATTCGGACCTAATTTCTTCTTTTATAAAGTGAAAAACTCTGAGGTCCGTTTCAACTCAGTCTCAGTGATTCTAATGTGTCTGTTTTTTTGCTGAACACTACCCTAGAATTGATTATTATATAATTAATTTTTAAATTTACCCTTTTTTGCCAGACAGGCAAGAAGGTAGCATTGTTATCACAACAACCCTGTGAAGTAACTGGTATCATCCCCTTTTTACTGGTGAAAAAAACTGAAGTTTGGTTAGGTTAAGAAGCACCCACCATTAGTAGCTGGGAAGTGGCATTGCAGGACTGTGGAGCCAGGTGACTAACTCCAGTACCTGTGTGCTGGCTGCTTCACTGCTGTAGGCTACTTGTGCTGGATGACTATGATGTACACAGAATTTCTTTTTAGAGTAGATTATTAGTTGTCTAGAGAAGGGCTCAAGTGTTGGGGTGATCAGACCCAACACCAGGTCATGGGGGCGATGAAGTCCAGCGGAGTCAAAGGAATGAGAAAAGACAGTTTGAGAAATAAAGTGGGTCCGGGGGCCAACGCAAGTATGGAGGCTGCCAAGGCCCTGAGCCCTGGAAGCCCAGACTACTGTTTATTGGTGATCAAAGAAACAGGTGGTGAGAATGTGGGGTTGAAAGGGAGCATTGTATTAAGCACATGATTTACAGCTGTGACGGTTTAGCATTTATATGACCAATTCTAAGACAATTGATCTAGGAGCCTGGAAGGGCTAGAAGCAAGGAACCAGCAAGTCTAGACACATTCCAGAGGCCACGAGGGGTTTTATGTCCTGGGCTTAGATGATGGTATATCAGGGTAGCCTTCCACCCTTTAGCACAGAGCTTGGTGTTCCAAAGGCCATGAGGGATTTTAGACCCTGGACCCCGGACATGTTCCAAGACTCTTACATTATGTCAGACAAGCAAGCCCTGCCCCAGCTTCTCCCAACACTCAGCTTTTCCCAACGACAAGTAAGGAAATGGAGTCTCTTCCTACTACAGAGTAGAAGCTGCTGTCTTTGTGACCACATGCCTTAGAATGCCAGAAAGGTTTTTTCTCAGATATTGTCCTGCTGTGCAAATGTTTAACCCACAGTATCCTGCACTGATTTTGTGGGTTTAATATGAAACTCATAAAAGGAAGTATCTGATGGAGTGAATAAATTTGCATTTTTATAACTTTAGTATTCTTTGAGCTGTACTTAAAAATAGAAGACAACCTTTTTCTATAAGTTATACATCTTCCATTGGGAGACTGAAAATTGAAAGAACTGTTTGAGATTAAAGAAATGTTTTATTATAACCTAGAGACAACAATCTAGGTTCTTAGGAAAGTCACAATTCCTTAAAAATACTAATTTAAGAATTCAGGTTGCTGCTGAAGGGTTTGAGCTACATTAGGGTACTCAAAAAGTATATAGCTTATAACTAGAATGAAAGTATCAGTTTAGAATCTGATGGTTACAGTCACGGTGATTATGTAGTTGGACAACCAAAACCCAAGAGTTACTGGCTCATGACAAAATACGGTTTGACTTAATACTAAGGGCATAGCCCAAAAACTGAAAACTACAGAAAACCCAAATGTCACTTTAGTCCCAGAGGTAGGTCAACAAAGGATAAGAGGCATTTAGTCAATGGTGGAGAATGAGCTGCAAGTCACACTAATACCAGGAAACTACTAATACCAGGAAAAGCTGAGTGTTGGGAGAAGCTGGGGCAGGGCTTGCATGTCTGACATAATGTGAGAGTCTTGGAACATGTCCAGGGTACAGGGTCTAAAATCCCTTGTGGCCTTTGGAACACCAAGCTCTGCAGAGAATGCTCTCAGAAACACAACCTCTAGGTCTTTCCAGATCACCCAGAGTCAATAAGAAAAAGAAGAGAGGGAACCTGAAACAAAAATTATATTTGAAAATCCTGATACTCACTTGTAAAGTCTTTCTTTAGTGATGTTATCCTTTTAAAATTAGGTTGTTTACGCAGTCTCACTCTGCTTAACTGTAGTCAGACTTCCAACACTGTTAACCCTCCAGGACACCAGGGAGAAAATGAGCCCAGATGAGGATTATGGGGCAGAGGGGTCAGAAAGTTACTTCTAAAGCTTCCCCTCCAAGCCATTTACCCTTTCTAATCTCATATTTCCTAATAAGTATATTTATTTGGGCATCTATCCCATAGCCCTCTCTAAACAAATCAGTCTAACCTTGGGCCAAACCTATCACTGTGATTCTGTATGGATTCCATCTGAGGTGCTTCTCTAAGCCTGTGAGGCCACACACCCCTCAGGTTAGGAGTGTCCCTCTTATGATTATAGCTGTCTCATTGCCAGATGACCCACCTTCATTCCCACACAGTCATAATTGTCTGCTTCTCATGAATGGGTCAGACTTAGCCACCACACCTGACCTTCACAGATGGTATTGGGGCAAACATCTGGACATTTTGGGTGTGGACATTTTTTTCCATTCTGCAGCTAAGGCCACATTCAAAAGGGGACTGTCATGAGGAATAAAAATCCTTTGACAGGCATGTCATGCCACTGATCAAAGGAGTATGTTTTTGCTGGTTCTGCACTAAGAGATCAAGTTCTTGTTCCTGAGAAAACAAATATAACTACTTGTGTATAAGCGCATACACTCCTATTTTGTGTGTGCCCGTGTGGAGACCAAAGGGTTGACTAAGGTGAAATAATTAATATTTGAGTCCTTTAAAATAGACTATGCAGGTATTATGAATAAATCTTAAAAGATTCCTTATATTTCTATAAGGAGCTCATTGTCAAGAAAAGTGCTTTTAGCACTTTATATACTCTAGGAGCACAGAACAAAGCTTTCATTTGAGTTTTAGGTACAGAAGCTTTCACTCAAATGGCAAAATATGGGGTCATTGTAAAGTCATTTGCTTTTTAGAATCAAGCAAGGCAGGGTACTTTGAATGTGAGTTTTAAAGATGTATATCCTGAAAATAAGGACAACAAGTGCCAGGGGAGTTAGGAATGCCCTGTCTTCCCAGGCCTCAGCACCAGACTTCTTGACTCTGTGTGGTTCATAAGACTTTGTTGCCGCCAGCAGCAATCTGAATCTGCGTGGGTGCCTGTCTGAGAGCCAGGGTAAGGAAGGGGACAAATGGCATGGTTCACCTTTGTTTCTTAGTGGTGTGAGCAGTCAGGATTTCCTTATACATTACTAACTAGGAAATCCCAAATGCCCAGCAGCAAGGGGTTAAAAACCATTCAGA